ATGTCCTGGTCCAGATCTGGGAGGGAATCCCCTAGGACACCATCCGTGGTCTCATTAGGAGCCTCCCCCGACGTTGTCAGCCATGCATACAAGCACGTGGGGGCCATACAGACTACTGAGGACCATTCTGAGTTGCTGCAATGACATTTCAGCCAAATGGACTCGCCTGCTGCATCATTTCTTCACTTTGATTTTCGGGGTGTCTGTGAATTCAGTCCTCTGTAGGTCGATCATTTTCATTTCCATCACACAATGGGGTATCTTTACATTCCTAACACATCACCCCGTCCATGTCAGTATAGAGATCCAGCAGGAGATTTGTCCCCATTGAGATCTGATGGGTTTTCAAAGTGTTCCTTTCATTTTTTTGAGCAGTGTATATAGTGATGTTTCCTATGTGTCCTGACTTTAGAGACACTCTGTATTACGTTGTGTGCACTAAAATTTATTTAAAACGGTATTAAACCCGAAAGCAAACATTTTTTTCTATTGCAGCTTACCAATTCTTAGATGTGATGGCTGCATTAGTTTTCTTTTTTAGACTTTCTTTTATTTTCATCTAGTGATCTGGCCAGCAAGTCTGATGTTATTTTTTTAAATAACAAGCTCTTTCTCAGATGTAGCAGTTACAGAAATGAGACAAACTATTTACCACTGACAGGGGTGCTTACAGTGATCAGCTTCTATTTATTTATGTAAAACCTTATATTCTAAAAGGAAAAAAAAACAGCTGTAACTGATTATAAAATGTGAGCTGAAGTTAGTGTATGTAAATCTGCTAGTACATCTAATACCTCCTCTGCCCAGACTGGCAATGTTGTATCCCCTGTGCTTCTTTATCCAAAGTGGGGGCGCTCCAGCTTTTTTTTTTTTCATTGAGAATGCAGTTCCGGCATCTCCAGCACAGAAGGTATGTACTGGCAAAGGGGGCTGGGATGTGCTGGGGGGTCTATTAAAGCTTGTGATCTATTGTAGCTGTGGGGTGTAGTGTTTCTGGGGGGGGGATATATTGTTGCTGGCAGGATCTACAATTGCTGGGGGGTATTATTGTTGCTAGTGGGGGATCTTTTGTTGTTCAGGGCTGCTTATGTTTTTGGGGGGGATCCACTGTTGAGGGAGGAAGGTCTACTGATGCTGACTGCTGGGGGATTTATTGTTGGCAGCAGAGGTCTATGGTTTTCAGATAGGATCTATTGTTGTTGGTGTGGGGTCTAATATTTCTGGGGACGTGTCTTTTGTTCCTGGTGGTGGGTCTATTGTTGCTGGAGGGGTCTATTATCTTTAATCAATTCCATAGAAATTACTTAACACCACAAAATGTAACTTGGCTTTTTGTTCTCTAAAAGGAGTGGTACTGGGGGGTGGAGACAGGGGACCGTGCTCAGCGGTAGGTCACGGGCAGAAAAAAAACCCTGGGGCACTCTAATACAGGAGGCATGTTACTGGCCAGATCACTGCCAACGCTGTTTAAAAAATAATTTTAGGCCTGAAGATTACACAAAACCCCCCAAGCATTATGTATTTTCTGAAAGCAGACAGCCTAGAGCACGGGTGTCAAACTGGCGGCCCTCCAGCTGTTGCCAAACTACAATTCCCATGAGGCATTGCAAGATTGACAGTTACAAGCATGACTCCCAAAGGCAGAGGCATGACGGGACTTGTAGTCCATTGTAGTCCACAACAGCTGGAGGAGCAGTTTGACACCCCTACCCTAGAGAATAAAATATTGGTAATACCAATTTTTTATGTCACACGATATTACCAGAAAGGTCTAAGAAATGCAAAATTTCAGTAAAAAAACACACAAAAGTGAATTTCAAGGCAAACCAATGCAATAAATTGCCCACATTTCTGGTAAAAGACAAGGTTGCACCGAGTAAATAGATACCCAACATGTCCAACCTTACACCGCGTTCCAAATTATTATGCAAATTCTATTTAAGTGTCACAGAGATGAAATATTTTGTTTTTCAGTGTAACTCATGGATGGCATTGTGTGTCAGGGCTCTTTTGATCACTGAAAACAATCTCGGACACCTGTGATAATTAGATTGGCCGGTGAGCCCAATTTAAGGAAAAACTACTAAAGGACGGCGTTCCCCATTATTAAGCAGAGCACCATTTTCAAGCAATATGGGGAAGAAAAAGGATCTCTCTACTGCCGAAAAGAGTGAAATAGTTCGATGCCTTGGACGAGGGATGAAAAACATTCAATATTTCAGGAAAACGTAAGCGTGATCATCGCACTATGAAGAGATTTGTGGCTGATTCAGAGCACAGACGGGTTGGTGCAGATAAAGGCACATTGAGGAAGATTTCTGCCAGATCCATGCATCGGATCAAGAGAGCAGCTGCTAAAATCCCATTACATAGCAGCAAACAGATATTTGAAGCTGCTGGTGCCTCTGGAGTCCCACGGACATCAAGGTGTAGAGTCCTCCAGAGTCTTGCAACTGTGCATAAACCTTCTATTCGGCCACCACTAACCAATGCTCACAAGCAGAAACGGCTGCATTTGGCAGAAAAATACATGAAGACTAATTTTCAAACAGTCCTGTTCCCTGATGAGTGCCGTGCAACCCTGGATGGTCCAGATGGATGGAGTAGTGGATGGTTGGTGGACAGCCACCCTGTTCCAACAAGTTTGCGACGTCAGCAAGGCGGTGGTGGAGTCATGTTCTGGGCTGGAATCATGGGAACAAAGCTGGTCAGCCCCTTTAGGGTCCCCGAAGGTGTAAAGATGACCTCTGCAAAGTATGTGGAGTTTATGACTGACCACTTTCTTCCCTGGTACAGAAGGAAGAACTATGCTTTCTGTAATAAAATCATCTTCATGCATGACAATGCACCATCTCATGCTGCAAAGAATACCTCTGCATCAATGGCTGCTATGGGGATAAAAGGAGAGAAAGTCATGGTGTGGCCTCCATCCTCCCCTGACCTCAATCCTATTGAGAACCTTAGGAGCATCCTCAAGCAAAAGATCTATGAGGGTGGGAGGCAGTTTACATCCAAACAGCAGCTCTGGGAGGCTATTCTGACATCTGGCAAACAAATTCAAGCAGAAACTGTCCAAAAACTCACAAGTTCAATGGATGCGAGACTTGTGATCTGCTATCAGATAAGGGCTCCTATGTTACAATGTAACGTGACCGCTTCAAATGTTTACAAAGTTACAATGTTGTTAAAAGTTTGATTGAAATAGCTTTTGATTTCAGTAAATCTGCTGCAAACACAACAAATGACAATTTTCAGTTCTTTACAACCTATAAAGTGTTTGGAAACTTCCTGTGCGGAATAATCCGGAACAAAAATCCTGTTATCATTAGGAGGTTTGTTCAATAAAATGTGAATTGTACTCTTATAGTTGTCACCTGAGAATTATGCCGACTGTTATTTACATCAATTATTGAGGGAAATGAGAAAAATATCATTTGCATAATAATTTGGAACACGGTGTAAATGCATGCGCCTATATTTTCAATAAGCGACGCTTCAAAAAACCCCTACAGGTCATCAGTTTAGTGTTTCAGAGGAGGCCTGGTGTTGGAATTATTGCTCTCACCCCGGTGTGTGCGGCGATATGTGACATATGTATTGCAACTGACGTTTTTTACGTGTAGGAGCCCCCGACGCGTGCATTTACGCTCATACGTGCATATGTGTGGGGGTGGAGGTCCTGAAAATTGTTTGGGGTGGGGATGGTATGTGCTTAGGTGTAACTTAGTTTTTTTTTGCAATGCTAAAAAATTTTTTTTCCTAAACTTTTTTTTTTCATCACATAGGAAACAAAGTCCCCTATGTGATTTTTCTTTTTTTGGTGACAGGTTCTCTTTAATGAGATTTGATCTCCTCTGGGTTCCACTGAATGTATTGCAAAGCAGATCGCAGTGCAATGTGTTCCTTCTCGGTGACAGGGTGACCCGGGAGTGATGTCATACTCGTCACTTTACGGGTCACAGCAGGGCCCCAGGCACACAGATGGGCAAGCAGGGCCCGGAATAAATAGCATGGAAGGGGGGGATGGGGCCCATTACCAGGGGTGTGTGGAAGCAATTGCCTGCCAGGCAGGAGTCTGCTTGTCAGATTTATACACATTCCCTGTGGCTAGGATGTACAAATCTGGCAGCGAAAGGGTTAAAACCGCTCAGGGGCAGACTGACAACTCATGGGGCCCCCGGGCAATAGGGGATCATGGGGCCCCTGTGTCTTTGCCCAAACTCAAAAAAGCCTATGAAAAAGGTACCAGGGGCATCTCATGGGGCCCCCTACTGACCCCGGGCTCTCGAGCAGTGCCCAAATTTCCAAATGGTCAGTCTGCCCCTGATACCGCTTTAACAGCTTGATGACCGCGGGACTGCAGAACGATAGCAGATGTACTACCACAAGGCGGCCGTGCTAGGAGGGGGCGCGTGTGCGCGTGCCGTCCTGCCCGTGCTGCTTATGGCTTCTGAGGGTGTCAATACCCGGGTCCAGGGGATTTATAAAGAAATAAATCCCAGTGATTTATGAGGAAATTTAGTTTTTTTAGTTTTTTATTGGATATGGTTTATAGCAAAAAGTCAAAAATATTGTTTTTTTTCCCCAAATTGTCAGTCTTTTTTTGTTTATAGTGCAAAGAAATTGAAAAAAACCGCAGAGGTGATCAAAGACCACTGAAAGAAAGCTCTATTTGTGGAAAAAAAGTATAAAAAATGTATTTATGTACAGCATTGCATGACCGCGCAATTGTCAGTTAAAGTAACGCAGCATCGTATCGCAAAAAAAACTGGCCTGGTCAGGAAGGTGGAGAAATCTTCCAGAGGGCAAGTGGTTAAGTGTATTCTTTATTTGTTTTTGATGAAACAGCTGCACAAATATCATGTGGCATCAAAAATTGTAGCAGCCACCATTTTATTCTCCTGGGCAGGGGCGGACTGACAACTCATGGGGCCCCCGGGCAATAGGGGATCATGGGGCCCCTGTGTCCTTGCCCAAACTCAAAGAAGCCTATAAAAAAGGTACCAGAGGCATCTCATGGGGCCCCCTACTGACCCCGGGTCCTCGGGCAGTGCCCGAGTTTCCAAATGGTCAGTCCGTCCCTGCTCCTGGGCCTCTGCATCCAGAAATATACACTATATGGGCCGCCTGCCTTTCCAAGCACATGACCTTTAATGGTCCCCCAGTCTTAGTCCGGAGGGTTCAATATTGAGTTGGCCCCGCCCTTTGCAGCTATAACAGCTTCAACTCTTCTGGGAAGGCCGTCCACAAGGTTTAGGAGGGTGTCTATGGGAAGGTTGGACCATTCTTCCAGAAGCACATTTGTCAGGTCAGGCACTGATGTCGGGGGAGAAGGCCTGGCTCACAGTCTCATCTCTAGGTGTTCTATGGAGTTGAGGTCAGGCCAGTCAAGTTCCTCCACCCCAAACTGGCTCCTCCATGTCTTTATGGACCCTGCTTTGTGCACTGGTGTGCAGTCATGTTAGAACAGGAAGGGGCCATCCCCAAACTCTTCCCACAAAGTTGGGAGCATGAAATTGTCCAAAATGTCTTAGTATGCTGATTCCTTAGGAGTTCCTTTCACTGGAACTAGGGGGCCAAGCCAAACTCCTGAAAAACAACCCCACACCATAATACCCCCTCCACAGAACTTTACACTTGGCACAATGCAGTCAGGCAAGTACAGTTCTCCTGGCAACCGCCAAACCCAGACACGTCCATCGGATTTCCAGACAGAGAAGAGTGATTGGTCACTCCAGAGAACACGTCTCCATGCTCTAGAGTCCAGTGACGGCGTGCTTTACACCACGGCATCCGACGCTTTGCATTGCACTTGGTGATGTAAGGCTTGGATGCAGCTGCTCGGCCATGCAAACCCATTCCATGAAGCTCTCTACGCACTGTTGTTGGGCTCATCTGAAGGCCACACCAAGTTTGGAGGTCTTTAGCTATTGACTCTGCAGACAGTTGGCGACTTCTGCGCACTGTGCGCTTCAGCATGCGCTGACCCCGCACTGTCATGTGACGTGGCCTACCACTTGGTGGCTGAGTTGCTGTTGTTCCCAGTTGCTTCCACTTTGTTATAATCGCACTAACAGTTGAGCGTGGAATATTTAGTAGCCAGGAAATGTCACGGATGGACTTATTGCCCAGGTGACAACCTATCACGGGACCACGCTTGGAGTCACTGAGCTCCTGAGAGCGACCCATTCTTTCACCAATGTTTGTAGAAGCAGTCTGCATGCCTAGGTGCTTGATTGTATACACCTGTGGCCATGGAGGGGTTTGGAACTCCTAAATCACATGATTTGGAGGGCGGGGCCAATACTTCTGGCAATATAAGACGTATTGCACAGGTGACAACCTATCACGGGACCACACTGGGAGTCACTGAGCTCCTGAGAGCGACCCATTCTTTCACCAATGTTTGTAGAAGCAGTCTGCATGCCTAGGTGCTTGATTGTATACACCTGTGGCCATGGGAGGGGATTGGAACTCCTAAATCACATGATTTGGAGGGCGGGGCCAATGCTTTTTGGCAATATATGATGTATTGCACAGGTGACAACCTATCACGGGACCACACTTGGGAGTCACTGAGCTCCTGAGAGCGACCCATTCTTTCACCAATGTTTGTAGAAGCAGTCTGCATGCCTAGGGGCTTGATTTATATACCTGTGTCCATGGAGGGGTTTGGAACTCCTAAATCACATGATTTGGAGGGCGGGGCCAATACTTTTGGCAATATAAGACGTATTGCACAGTTGACAACCTATCATGGGACCACACTGGGAGTCACTGAGGTCCTGAGAGTGACCCATTCTTTCACAAATGTTTGTAGAAGCAGTCTGCATGCCTGGGGGCTTGATTGTATACACCTGTGGCCATGGAGGGGATTAAATCCAATGATTGGAAGGGGGGGCCCAATACTTTGTCAATATAGTGTATATAACGTTTGGGGGTTCTAATGCAGATTTTACCAATATATGTGAAAGACTTCATAACCGCCCCGGCCAGCAAGTGTTTAACGAGCGGAATGTCTGAGGGCAGTATCCCGTCCTCCATTGTTCAGGCAGAAGAACGGGTCCAACAGGTTACCGCAATTTTACACATCACAGTCACTCTTTTCATTACTGAATGAACCAATTTGCGACAATTCAATTCCATTCCGCCGAGCATAAACAGGTGATTTGTGATGTTCGGCGGCGGCACGTCCCACCTGTATCCTTGCTTTGTGCCTTTAGACTGCCGCGCGACAGCTGAACTCCTTTTCCGAGGCATTCGGCGCAGCGTGCCGTATATTGGGATGACTCATTCCACAACCAGCAATTAAATATCTGGAGCCGAGAACGGCGCGGAGCAACTGGTGTGGAAAACGGCACCGTCCCTCCCTCCCTCCTTTGCTTTGTCGCGGAGAGAATAGCCCGCTCTTAATTATTGAAGGAAAATGTTCAAATGCGATTCAATTATTTATACTGTAATCCAAACACGGGCCAATTCGCGGTGATGATTGCCTGAGAGTTTGCATTGCTGCTGCTCTGCATAAATACTCCCGGATAGAAATATTTCCTACGTAGCAGCCAGAAATACTATTATGGAGCGTTGCACGGGAGATGTGCGACGTGAAGGTCGGTGACGTCTATTTTATAGGGCTACAGACGCCTACATGACATTTGCGGCCTCTAATTCACGCACCCGAGCTGACAGAACCGATAGAGAGTAGACCATCCGTGCCATAGTACGATTTATAAAAAAATGAAATTACAGAGCCGTTCCTTCCATGAAACTGTGTGTGTATTCGTTCCGGGCAAATCGAATGTTGTTAGGTTATTTTCTCTCCAGGTCGAATGTTCAACAATGCGATTTCCATGGTCAGACTCAAGTCCAGGGGCGGACTGACCATTCGATCACTCGGGCACTGCCCGAGGGCCCAGGGTCAGTAGGGGGCTCCATGAAATGCCTCTGGTACCTTTTTATAGGCTTTTTTGGGTGTGCTTTGAGTGTTGACAAGGACACAGGGGCCCCATGATCCCCTATTGCCTGGGGGCCCCGTGAGTTGTCAGTCCGCCCCTGCTCAGGTCATAACGGAAGTCGTAGGAGTGTGAATCAGGCTGATTCGCACTCGTACGACTTCTGTTATGACCTGAGATGACCATGGAAATCGCCGAGGCAGTGCAACACGATTTTGGAAAAGGGTCCCGTTCTACTGTGGTGCGCTCCAGCATGAGTCTGGCCATAGAATATGCAAACTGCATCCAAGTTGCAGCACATAATCACGCTCAAAATCTGATCACAGCAGCCTCATAGAGTGAATCAGGAAAATACCACATTATGGCCACTAGATGGGAGCCGAGGAGCATACAGTAGCTAAATGGTTAGCACTTCCACCTGGCAGTACTAGGGTCGTTGGTTTGAATCCCAACCACGGCACCACCTGCCTGGAGAGTTTGCAGGTTCTCCCTGTCCTTGCGTGGGTTTCCTCCAGGTACTCCGGTTTCCTCCTACATTCCAAAGACATGCTGGTAGGTTAATTGAAACCTGTAGAAATTGTCCCTAGTATGTGTATGTATGAATGTGAGTTAGGGACCATAGCAGGGGTGGACTGACCAATTAGAAACTCGGGCACTGCCCGAGGGCCCGGGGTCAGTAGGGGGCCCCATGAGATGCCCCTGGTACCTTTTTCATAGACTTTTTTGAGTATAGGCAAGGACACAGGGGCCCCATGATCCCCTATTGCCCGAGGGCCCCATGAGTTGTCGGTCCTCCCCTGGACCTTAGATTGTACGCCCCTTGAGGGTTAGGGACTGATGTGAATGTACAATATATATGTAATTCGCTGTGTAAATTGACAGCACTATAGCAGTACCTGAAATAAATATTAAAATTAAACTTTAGTCTGCCACGCAGGGACGGACTGATAACTCATGGGGCCCCAGGGCAATAGGGGATCATGGGGCCCCTGTGTCCTTGCCCACACTCAAAAAAGCCTATAAAAAAGGCACCAGGGGCATTTCAGGGGGCCCCCTACTGACCCCGGGCCCTCGGGCAGTGCCTGAGTGCTCTAATGGTCAGTCCGCCCCTGCTGCCACCCAAGTGGCAACTAAATATCTGGAGCCGTGAACGACGCGGAGCAACTGGTGTGGAAAACGGCACCGTCCTCCCTCCATTGCTTTGTCGCGGAGAGAATAGCTCACTCTTCATTATTGAAGGAAAACATTCAAATGGGATTCAATTATTTACACTGTAATCCAAACACAGGCCAATTTGCGGTGATGTCTGCCTGAGAGTTTGCATTGCTGCTGCTCTGCAGCCTCATATGAGTGAATCAGGAAAGTACCACATTATGGCCACTAGATGGGAGCTGAGGAGCATATTAAAATGAAACTTTAGTCTGCCACCCAGGTGGCTCCTCCCCCATCCCCCATGTGTCCATGGGCTCTGCCTGGCCTTCGGGTCCTGACAGCCCCGCTGTGACTTTCCACACACACAATGCCAGGGAAGTTGGCAGACTTTGGGAGTCCGGGAAACCCCGCACATGTGCAGATGGCCAGGGAAACTGACGCATGCACAGACTCTGAGGACTCGAGCCCCGCACGTAGGGGGAGGGGAGGCATTCTCGCCTGTGTGAGAAATGTGGAAGTACTACAGTAAAAAAAAAATTCATAAATAAAAAATATATCCGTCTGAGAGGGAGCGGGGAGGATGCAGTACAACGTGACCTTTAGGCTACTTTCACACTGATCTGCCACAAAAACACAGCAAAAACGCACTTTTACCATGCTTTCTAAGCATTTTTAATAGGACACCTGACTTCAAAACTGCACCAAAAACGCTTCTCAGGGGCATTTTTCAGGTGCTTTTTTAGGCATTTTTCAGGCGTTTTCCATTGATTTCAATAAGAAGAGGCGTTTTTGGGGCATTTTTTTTAACTCCCCAGACATGCCCCAAAGATGCTGCAAGCGGGAGTTTTTACATCACACCGCAAGCGCAACTCCCCAGTGTGAAAACATACATACATATACATTCACATACACAGGGAAGCATTTTTCTTGAGCTTTTTGGGTGCTTTTTTAGCCTCCCTGGCGGTAT